AAATGTTGGTATATGCTTTCAACTTCAAGCTGGACATGATGCCAAATGTGATTTGAGAAGCCTGAGTCTCCAGTTTACATGTAAAGTCTATGGTGGACACATGTCAGGCACCAGGGGCATCAAAAAGTACTGTAGGACGGTTCGACCATCTGGTGCGGCGCCTTTGAAGCGTGCTCAGTGTTAACTGAAGTTCTGAGCGCTTCCAAAGCCTCAAATAATAAATACTCAAATTCATATTTTCTGCAGCTGGACGCAGCGCGTCAACCAATCAGAGAAGGTGATCTGGTGTCTGGCTGGGATTCAGAGGCAACATGCAAGCTGTGATCTCTCCTACTGTAGAGCTGTCAGCGTAAAATCATCAATAATCAACAGAAACATAAAAGGCTTTCACTTCTTTAGGTTTAGATAAAAAGCAAAGGCCAAAAATAAAATGCCACCTACCTGCTCCTGAGGGGGAGATCTGAACTCTTTGGTCTTCTTGGCGGTGAGCGCAGCAGACATGTTGAGAGCCAGCATCACCTCATTGTAGCGGAAGCGCTGGTTGTCTTGGAGACAAGCCACAAAGTCATCAGAGAAGGCGACCACCGCCTCGATGCGGTGGCGCACCTGGCAGTCGCACAGGTACTGCAGCACATGGCACATCTAGAGACATAACGCAGGGAGAGAAAAAACAATGATGCTACGTCTGTTTCCTGCTTTTTAGGAAATTGTTTTGCTCTCTTTAAAGGTATCCGTTCTAGTTGTTATACATCTATAGAAACCCTTGTTTCTGGCTTTATTTGATATGATCTTACGTTCTGAACCTTTTGTTTCTGTTTAAGTTTTTACTTTTTAGTTTCTCAACTTTGCTTTGTTTGTTCTGTGTTCTCTAGATTTAGATATTTTTTGTATTCTTAGTTTTCTCTTCCTGGTTATCTCTTTTTTCAACACTGTTAGCACTGTTATACGTATTCTTATCTCTTATCTTTAGGTCAGGTTTTCCATGGCGTCAGTTACATCCAGTCTCTTTTCTCAAGTTTTTCCCTTGGTCATTACTTATTTTGTACTCAATAGTTTTATTCCCCTTTAGCGTTATTTAATTTCTTTTTAGTTACCTTTAGGTCATGTTATTTCCCCTGGTTACTCTTTGCTGCCCCCTAGTGTCCTTTCCTTTCCCCGTAGCTCCTTCTAGTTACTTCTGTCCACATCTGCTCCCTCTTAGCTAATCCTCCTTCCCATTATTTCTGTCTCCCATATATACACCTCCTGTTCAGTTCCTCGTTGCTGGATCTTTGTAATTCTTTAGGATGATTCCTCCCTAGTGTCTCCTAGTTTTTTGTTTTTTGAGTTTTTTGTGTGCATCGGTTTTGGATTCCGGATTTTTACTTCTTCATTAAACTTTGCATGAAATCCTCTCTGGCTCCTCTTCTCCAAAATAACATCCACCACCCTGGACATTATTTTGCTTCACAGTCCCACTGAGTTTCTGACTGTGATGGATCCCCCTGTACCTCTGACGCTGTCATTTCATATCAGGGCAGTTTAGCATCCTGCTAAAAGTAAGTAACATTATGGTTTCTTCTTTGTCTTCCCTGCAAACTTTGATCAAATAATGGGTAAAAACTGATCACAATATGTGTATTTTCCCTTAATTTGAGCAGCAGATAAGACAATCTGCCAGTTTCTTCCTTTAAGATTAGATAGTTTGATCTTATTGATCATCTCCTGCTGCAGTCAGGTTACAGGCTATCAGCGTTTCTGTAGCTCCTGTTCCTCCAGCTTTAATGGGGTGGTCAGGAGCATCACCTGGAGCTTGACAGGTTCTGGCAGCTTCATCTGCAGCAGCCCTCCGTTCGGCAACCTCCTCCCTCCGTCCTCTCCTCTTCCTTTGGTTTCAGCGTTCTTCAGCATCTCTGGCCTCCCAGGAGCCTCTTCCTGGCCGTCTCTTCGCTCGGAGAACACAGAAGGCTCGATGAGCTGCAGGATGTTCTTCAGATCCCCGTTTTGGAAAATGCCCATGATGAGCATGGTGTAGACCAGCTTGATAAGCGGGACGAAGAGCAGCTCTGTGCTGCCTCCCACCGGATCCCGCACATGCATGCTGCCTTCCCGCACCGCCTCTGTCAGCATCTCGATGGTTTTCACCTTCAGGATATCCAGGGGGAACTCAGGACTGTACTGGAAACAGCTTCCTGATCCGTTGTTTCCGCTGTCATGGCACCAGGAATCAGCCACACGTATAAAACTGGGGCAGGAGAAGTGCATTCTGGGTCTGAGGGAGGTACTGAGCCCGATGCCCGGCAGGCCGTGCTTCTTCAGCTCGTCTGGAAACAGAGTGATGCTTTTAGTTTGGTGGGTCATGGGCACGATGTACTCGTTGTTCATCATGAGTCGGGCCGTCGCATAGCTCCTCAGGTGGATGTCGATGAGGAGGTCGTAGTAGCCGGCGCGAAGCAGACCTGCCCAGAAACACAAAAATACAACTTTACCTGCAATAAGGGCTTCAGTTTAGAAAGTCATGCTACTTAACACTAATGTTACAACTGTAACCAGTGGTTTGATCATTATTAATCTAACCTAAATAGTTTTAACAGGGTTTCCGCTGGTCATTAAAAATAATTAAATGTGATTATCATGGTATTTAAAA